AAACTCTAGGCAACCTCCAAACTCCAAGCAATTACCCATCTCCAAGTAACCCCCAAATTCCAGCCAATCACCCAACTCCAGTTGACCACCAAAGTCCAAATCAAGACCAAACTCCAAGCAATCACGCAATCGCGGAAACCTGGTTTCAATAATTTAGCAGCACGGACACATGGTGTAAATACCTTAGCAGCACGGACACATCGTGTCAATACCTTAGACCAGGTGATTGCTTCAAACATACATCAATTAAATGTAATTTAGTTATAAAATGAGGTATGTCGATCTGACTAGAAATAGCCAAACATTAATTGTACTTAGCCTTCTTGTCCATAGAGTTAGCCACGGCTGCTAGGCTGAAGTCCCATTAATAACCTACTAATGTCGTGTATCTTCGATATAATTCAGCCTATATTGAAATTAAAAATAAAAGATTATTTTACGATTCTAATTCGCTAAAATTAAGTTTTAAATGGAAACCATTCCTCAAAATGTTAATAATGTATTCAATGAAATGGCATCAAAGATAATGTCATGTGTGCTAACATGATGACAGGAAACACTCATCAAATATATCAAACCTGTCATAAAAAGCAAAAACGAGCTACCCGCCATACTAATCAAACACTTGCTACGTGTCCGGATAAATCATGATCTCCCTCCCCGTGAATTATCACCATCGAAATTGGGATAACACCAATTTGACGGACGAGGAGCTCGAGCTCTTGAACACTCTCCAGTTGACCAACTCAATGGTCCTGCTGATTGGCCCGTACTGTCTGCTAGTTGTTGGTGTGTTAGGTAAGGATGAATTGTGAACCTGTATGTTAGTTTTTTTGGTGTTTTTTGTTAAGGATTTATTGTATACTATTGTATATAAGTTGTTGGTATTTATGTAAGCATGTATTGTGCAATACTGTCTGCTTTTAGCTGGTGTTTTAGGAGAGGATGTATTGTTTAATACAGTCTTCTATTAGTACATTATTCGTGAAAATGAATGCTTTTTGTCCAGGTAATTTGCTAAGTTTGAGAGTTTTGTTTCGCCCGTCCATGAGGGTCAAGATCTTTTCCACCTACTTGTGCAGCATGTGTATGTTTAACATACTGACCCTACTGTCCGTCATGCCAAGGCTGATTACAAAGGCGCACATCGGGAGGGAGATGATCATCGACAATGATGCCCTCTGCATGTAAGTAAATAAGATGTGCTCTCTGTATGTAAGTAATTAAGATGTGCCCTCTGTATGTAAGTAAACAAGATGTGCCCTCTGTATGTAAGTAAATAAGATGTGCCCTCTGTATGTAAGTAAACAAGATGTGCCCTCTGTATGAATGTAAATAAGATGTGAGCTTTGTCTGTAAGTAACTAAAACTCCTTAGTACGCCAACTAGTGAGATATTTTTACGTTTCTACAAACGTCTTTAGTACTCTTAAAAAATAGTGTAGCAATAGATATGTTGTGTATCTGAATGCACAAAGATCCCATATAAGTGTGCTAAGATAGAAAATACCTAAATGCGTTTAGAAATCTTAATTATGTGTCTAAATTTAAACTTTTAAATCATCACCATTAAAAAATTGATTTATTTTCTAAATTTGTTTTCCTTCTGACTTGTATGATTGAAATAAATGTATTTTCCATGTTTTCACGTCACAGTCTGCTCAAGTACGCATCAATCACCTTCATATCCATATCACATTGGCATACTGTTCTTCTGACGTTAACTCGACTCTTGTTTCTGATAGACGGGTGAGTGCTCTGACATCTAACTGCAATTATTTGTGTAACGTCTGTACTACGTATGTCAAGGACACAGCATATGGTGTTTGATCGTGAATGTATCTTGATATGTAACTTCTGCATGCAGCGTCTAGATGTAATGTAGACATGTCAATGGCCTGTTAAAGCCGTTTATAAACTTTCACATATGGCAAATCTCATGAATGTACCATAGATAACATAAATCATCAGGCCATTTTGCAGTCCTAACATCCATATAAATACGACTGTTATTGTATTGTTATAAATTATACTCGATAACCCACGTCTCACGCACACTATATATATATATATATATATATATATATATATATATATATATCAGTAGAAGTCCAATTCAAAAATATCATTATTTTATTAACAAGCCACACCATATGTCATTAATTCGATAAATAATAGAATAATAGATAACATAAATCATCAGGCCATTTTGCAGTGCTAAAATACATATAAATACGACTGTTATTGTATTGTTATAAATTATACTCGATAACCCACGTCTCACGCACACTATATATATATATATATATATATATATATATATATATATCAGTAGAAGTCCAATTCAAAAATATCATTATTTTATTAACAAGCCACACCATATGGCATTAATTCGATGAATAATAGAATAATGATGGATTGAAGTGAAGTTACAAAACTTCCACTTTCTTTAGAATTCGATGGAATGCCCTTTTAATATACATTACAATATATCTTCTCTTCTGTTTCCACCTTATCCATATTGAGATCCATGTATCCTTACCCTAGAACGAAATATCGTCTTTCATTCCACTGTTAATGTACATCAAATATCGTTGTGTTACATAAACATATTCTGTTTATACATTATAACTTGGACATTTTTGTGTGGTGATTTGTCCCACAAGTTACCAATCATTACAAACATTGCACGCTTCCATGAAACAATCAAGTTTGGATTACACATCAAGCCACAGAAATATACCTCACATGCAATGGCAGCGTTGATATTCTCAGCATCGAAATAATAGACCCTTGAACAGCGTTGTCTACCTCTTAGATAATCAAAGTATCGATTCTTTAATTGATGTTAATGCTCGTGTCAAAGAAAATAAAAACTAGCAATAACATGTTATAATAATCACGTGGCCCATATAAAAACTATAACAAAATAAAAACTAAGAATAATCTCGTAAAAAAAATTAAATATGCCTAAAAAAAAAAAAAAACTACCAAGAATATTTTTGAAAAAAAAAAAAAACAAAAAAAAAAAAAAAAAAAAACTCGAAAAAAAAAAAAAAAAAACACAAAAAAAAAAAAAAAACCACCAAGAAACTTGTTGAAAAAAAAAAAAAATGAGGTGTTACGTATTATCAACTTATTTTGTTAATTCAACCTTCGAGGAAATGAGCTGATGATTGACCTTGACCTCATTTCTTGGCAGTACAGGGCGCATCATGGAGTGCATGAGGCCTAGAATCAGCATCACCACCATTGTCCTAGGCTGGGTCTTGTTCAATATACCACTCACTTACTTCTGGGTGCGCTTCAAAGATAATGCAGGGTAAGTAGTGTCTGGTTTTACACGGGTAAGCATTGTCTGTTATTACCAGTTAAAGTAGTGTCTGATTTTAAAACTGTATGAAGTGTCTGGCATTACAGGGACAAGAACCTTCTGATATTACCAGGGTAAGTAGTGTATGACATGATCATGTCCAATAGTGTCTGATATTACCAGCGAAAGTAGTATCTGATATTACCTGAGTAAGTAGTTGCTTTTATTAACAGGGTAAGTAGTGACTGATATTACCTCAATAAGTAGGGTCTGATAATACACGAATCTGTTTAATTGATACTGGTGACGAAGGAAAGACGTACCTACCTTGTATTTCATTATGTTGTGCTGTAGAAAACATACATCACGATCTTAATAAGTAACAAAAAAACTATTTTGTTTAAAAACATTCCTCATCGTCATGTCCCTTAGTCATTGGACCGTTGGGGCGCCACAGATGACATGTGAACCATCCTCCTCCATTCCTCTCTGTCTTCTACAATGCGCACTGCATCGCCCAGTGTTAGTCCTGTCCACTCTTTGATGTTATCCTCCCATATTATTCTTTGTCTTCCTCTTCTTCTCCCTCCTCTTGTGGTGCCCTGCAATATTTCTTTGGCACGCCCTTGTTTCCTTGTTACGTGGCCGTACCATTGTAATTTGCGTTTTTTCACAGTCACCATTAGGTCATCGTACTCCTCCATGGGCTGACGAACCCTTTCTTTCACTGTATCATTGGAGATATGGTCCCTATAGCAGATGCCAAAAATGCTTCTGAAGCATCTCATCTCCATTGCCTTTATTTTCCTTTCAAGATCGTCTGTTAATGTTCAGGATTCGCAGGCTTACAGGAAAATGGAGAGGACTAATGAGATTAGATTGTTGTAAATAGTTGATGGCATGTGTCGGAACAGTGCATGACATCTTAATTAAGAAAACTCCCATCCTACGCGGAAAGCAACGCAATAATGATTCAAAAGAAGCTTTCTTTAAGACTTGTCACAAACACTCATCAAAACTTTCTCCAGCAATTGAGTCTAGGGGCTGAAGCCCTCTCCAACGGCTCAGTAAGTAATTATTTTTAGACAGCAAAAGGTTGTAGAGTATGTACAGCTTTAGAACAGAGGGCACATAACCAACAACAAAAAATGAGCAATAAGTGATAAGATACAGCAAATGAAAACTGACAATGGGTGAAAGGTATGTTATATAATAACTGTTATCATACAGCACTACAAAGATTTTAGGAAGAGCTGTATTTTTCACTTTGTCCCCAAGTATGCAATCAACATTATTTTTTTTTAAACTTAGCCTAATTTTCATAACGTGATAAAAAACTACATCTGTTTCAAAACTCGTTCAGGTATTGAATTATTAGCCATATTCTTTCTTTCTTAATTATTTTTTATTTTATTTTAATACTTGTATCCTAATCTACAGATACCCCTGTTTTGTTTTATACATGTGTTGTAATGTATAGAGCACCATGCTTTGGTAAATGAATGTGTCTAAAACTACAGATCACCATGTTCATGCATGTGTCCTAATCTATAGACCCTCCTGATTTGTTCTATGGATGTGTCCTAATCTATAGATCACCATGTGTTGATCTATGCCGACTACTACTATTCTCCCCCAGGCATCCTGTCGAGTGTTACCTCCCCTACCGCACCATCCACATGACCATCATGGTGGTGCTGCAAGCCCTGGTGCCCATAGTGTTCCTGATATTCATTGATGCTCTCATCATATGTATGCACTTTAAGAAGATATCGTCTGTGACAAGGGCAAGGTCGACTTTGAAAGGTAAACAAAAAATTCATACATCCTTTTTTTAAAAAAATTAATTTATTTCTTTTTCTATTTGTTTATTTGTATTTCCAGTGGAAACACTTCTAGTGACCCAGCATTACAAGGTCTTTAGTTGTTATTGTGACATTAAGGAGTTCTCCCTCAACATTGCGACACAAATTTGTTCAACTCGTTCTGTTTAGACGGAAGTTATAAGACCATGTTTGAAACTTTACGAAAGGAAAACATTCAAGCTATCAGCCTCAATTTTTGCAAGATCCGCAGATCTTTTTCCCATGGACTGTAATCAAGAGCATTATTGACTTTAGAGCATTCAGCTGTGAGATGTTCAACCAACGAAAACTTATCAAAGACAATTTGCAAAACAGAAAACAAGATGGCCGACAAGCCGGATATTTTTTATTTCCATCCTTTATTAAATCGCATTTTTAAATTATTTTTGTTAAAAAAGAAAATTTACTTGTTAAATTTAAATTTATAAGAAAAAAAATGGAAGGATCTGCGAATATTTACTTGTTATAATTCTTTGTTATGATTCCTTGCAATATTCTCTTGCTATATTCCCTTGTTGTATTTCCTTGTAACATTTCCTAATTACATTTCCTTGATATATTTCCTTGTTACATTTCTATGTAATAATACCGTATTATGTTCCTTATTCTAGTTTCTTGTAATATTTTTCCTTAATATATTTCCTTGTTAAATTTCTTCATGCAATATTTCCTTATTATATTACTTTGTTATATTTTCTTACATTTCCTTGTTATATTTCCTTTTTATAATTCCTTGTAACATTTCCTTACTAAATTTCCTTGCCAAATTTCGTTATTATGTTTCATTATGATACTTCTTTGTTATATTTTAAGAAAATATTTGCTTGTTACATTTCCTTCCGCATTGCGTTATTTTGCGTGTCATTTCTATCTGTCAGTCAAACAGCATCTGATCGTTGTGACGTTCGCATCCAGCATTCAGTTCGTCCTCACCACTTTCCCGACATCCATCATCAACGGAAACGGGGCGTTATACTTTGATGGGCACACACAGATAGGAGAGGCGAGGACACAGTTGGGTAAGGAGTGGACACAGTTGGGTAAGGAGCGGAAACATTTGGGTAAGGAAAGAACACAATTGGGTAAAGAGCAGACGCAGTAGGGTAAGGTGAGGACACAGTTGGGTAAAAAGGCGGACACAGCTAGGTAAGAAGAGGATACAGTTGGTTAAGGAGAGAACATAGTTGGGTAAAAAGGTGGACACAGCTAGATAAGGAGCGGACGCAGTTGGGTAAGGAGTAGACAGAATTGGGTAAGGAGTAGATACAGTTGGGTAAGGAGTAGACACAGTTGGGTAAGGAGTAGACAGAGTTGGGTAAGGAGTGGACACAGTTGGGTAAAGAGCGGACGCAGTTGGGTAAGGAGCGGACACAGTTTGGTAAGGCGAGGACACAGTAGGGTAAGAAGAGGACCCATCTAGGTAAAACGGTGGACACATTTGGGTAAAACGAGGACACAGTTTGGTAAGGAGATTCACATTGGGGTAAGGAGAGAACACAGTTGGGTAAGGAGAGGACACAGTTGTGTAAGAAGAGGACGCAGTTGTGTAAGAAGAGGACGCAGTTGGGTAAGGAGAGGACACAGTTGGGTAAGGAGGAGATGATAGTCGTTACCAACAGGTTATTCGGTGGATACATTTTATCCAATGCACAATTCTGTAAACAAAATTAAAAACAATTGTTAAATCAATTTCTCATAGATTTACCATTTTCGTAAAAGAGAAAACAATTTAAACACTAGCACTAAGTCAAGACACATTTTTTTTAACACTTTTGGTAATCGTCAAAAAAGAATTTAATCTATATTTCAACAAAATCTCCTAGCTGTCACCCCACTTAAAAATCACAAAGTCTAAAAGCAATACTTATGTCAATGAAGACAAGCTCCCCCATGTCCCCCACAAACACACTTGTCTTCCCTGAAATAACTTTAAACAGCTTTGGTTATGTATAGGAACGCATCCCCCACCAAAGACAAGCAATACATTTTACAGCCATAACTATGTACAAGAACACAATTCCCATCAGCAATAAATGTAACAGCAATAATTATGTACATGAGCACAATTCCAATCCAGCAATAAATGTAACAGCAATAATTATGTACATAAACACAATTCCCATCCAGCTATAAGTGTAACAGCAATAATTATGTACATGAGCAGAATTGCCATCCAGCAACAAGTGTAACAGCAATAATTATGTACATAAACACAATTCCCATCCAGCAAAAAGTGTAACTGCAATAATTATGTACATGAGCACAATTGCCATCCAGCAACAAGTGTAACAGCAATAATTATGTACATGAGCACAATTGCCATCCAGCAACAAGTGTAACAGCAATAATTATGTACATGAGCACAATTGCCATCCAGCATCAAGTGTAACAGCAATAATTATGTACATGAGCACAATTTCCATCCAGCAACAAGTGTAACAGCAATAATTATGTACATAAACACAATTCCCATCCAGCAATAAGTGTAACAGCAATAATTATGTACACGAACACAATTCCCATCCAGCAATAAGTGTAACAGCCATGATTCTGTACATGAACGAGTCCACCAACTTTCTCATCTTCTGCTGCTTCGGGAGAAAGTTCAAACGCGAGCTGATCATTGTGCTGTTCACGTGCAAGGGTTTCGACTTCCGTCCCACATCCACCAAGAAATCGGGCATGGAACTGTCGATGCAACCCAAAGGTAGGTGCAACTGTCACAGCACACCACAGGTTGTCGAACTGTCACTGCAAACAAAGGTTGGTGGAACTGTCACAACACACCAAAGGTTGGTGGTCGCCAGATTTACAACTTAGGGATTGTGTGCTACCGCACCACAAATCAAGAGTTCGGGCCTAGAACTGTCACTACAGACCACAAGGTTGGGAGTTGTCGTGTCTATATCTTTGGGATGTGGTGATGCCACCACACCCACCACGAGAGGTTAAGCCTAAAGCTGTCACATATAACCAAAGCCTAGACAAATTGTATGATGAAGAAATTCTTTATTAAGAGGGAATTTATAAAAAAAATAAATAAATGAAAGCTACAATTCCCCATATCCCACCCTAACATAAAAAATCAAAGAAATCTATATATAGAACAGAATCTAAGTCAAGCTAAGAAACGGGGTTTTTTTTTTACTAACTAAAAAATGCTTCACTACACGCTGATTTACAAAAGTGATATTTCCATTCTCGCTAAAGCAGGTTTTGAGAAATAATTTTTTCGTTTAAAACCGAAAACAATTCTTTGCGTAATAGAAAACTTTAACTTTATATCCTGTCAGTCACCTCAGACATGGAGCCGAATGTGACCATATTATCAAGCGAAAGGGACTCCAGCTACTTCAAGTCCATCTCGTCTCAATCTCAGTCAGCCACTTTAACGTCTAGCCACATCATTCCATCTCCCCCAAGTATTATCAAATTGCCGTCAGACCGCTGCTTAGGACACACTGGGTAAACAATGATTCGTGAGCTTATATAGAATTAATATATGCTTATGAAACCTCGAGGTTAACATAAGAGAGCTGATACATAGACTATATGTACATAGGACACACCGGGTAAACAATAGATTGTGAGCTGATACATAGACTATATGTCCGTAAAACACACCGGTAAACAATAGATTGTGAGCTGATACATAGACTATATGTCCGTAGGACACACCGGTAAACAATAGATTGTGAGCTGATACATAGACTATATGTCCGTAGGAAACACCGGTAAACAATAGATTTTGAGCTGATACATAGACTATATGTCCGTAGGACACACCGGTAAACAATAGATTGTGAGCTGATACATAGACTATATATCCGTAGGACACACCGGTAAACAATAGATTGTGAGCTGATACATAGACTATATGTCCGTAGGACACACCGGTAAACAATAGATTGTGAGCTGATACATAGACTATTTGTCCGTAGGACACACCGGTAAACAATAGATTGTGAGCTGATACATAGACTATATGTCCGTAGGACACACCGGTAAACAATAGATTGTGAGCTGATACATAGACTATATGTCCGTAGAACACACTGGGTAAACGATAGATTGTGAGCTGATACATAGACTATATGTCCGTAGAACACACTGGGTAAACGGCAGATTGTGATCTGATATAAGGATTATTGTCTACAAACGCGATGAGTATAATCAGCCATTCAATTAGCGTGTACAAAACAAGTAGACAATTTAACAACCAATTCTTTAGCCCATAACTAGTACACACTATTGCCAACCCATTCTCTAGCAATATGAATAAAGTAGAACAACCGGGAGTTGAATTTACATCAGAAATCAGTTACGACGTATACAATTAGAAAAACATGATTTATGACATTATTAGAACTGTTTCTAGTTTCTTTGTTTGTAATTTCTGTGTTTCTTATTTCTATGTTTGTAATTTCAAGGTTTGAAATTTCAATGTAAAGTGTATGTTTGTTATTTCAAATTTTATATTTTTAAAAATTTAAATCTTGTAATTGCTATGCTTTTAACTTCTAAGTTTTTAATTTCAATGTTTGTAAATTATTTCTTTTTAATCTATTACTTTTAAAATTCCATGTTTGTAATTTCTATCTGTACAATTACTAGGTTTGTATCATTTGTCTTTAATTCCTATTTTTGTAATTTCTACCGTGTTTGTAAGTTCAATGTTTGTAATTTCTATGTATTTTTTTATATGTAAATTCAATGTTTGCAATATTCATGTTTGTAATTCCTTTGTTTGTAATCGGTATGCAATTTATTGTAATTCAATGTTTGTACTTTAAATGTTTGGGGTTTCTATGATTTTAATTACAAAGTTTGTAAATTCGACCTTTTTAATTTCTTGTTTGTAATTGCATTTTTTTGGTAAATTCAGTGTTTGTAATTTCGATTTTTACAACTTCTAGGTTTGAATTCTCTGTTAGTAATTGTTATGTTTGTAAGTTCTATGTTTTAAATGACATGTGTGTAGTTTCTTATTTGTGTAATTTCTATGTTTCACTTTTTTACTATCCAGATTAGTGTCCAGCGTTTGACGTTGGATAATACTGGAGGATTTCATTTTGGACACTGAAGAATATCACTTTTAATAATAAAGGAGATCAATATTGAAGGATATTAAAGTTGATGCTGAAAGATATCAAGTTCGTTACTGAAGGATATCAACTTTGCTACTGCAGATATCAGCATGGAGATTGAAAGATATCAACTTTGGTAGTGAATGATATCAACTTTAATATTTAATGATATCAAATTTGATACTAATAATATCAACTTTGATACTAATGATATGAACTTTGATACTGAAGGATACCAACAAGGGAAAAGAGCCGTGCCCCATATTCTATAAAGATATTGTGATAGTAATAAATTATTTTCTTAATGCCTAGGAAAATGTGCCTTGGCGTTATCGTAATTTTGTATAAAATTGTTGTTTGATCCTGTGATTGGTCCAGTTGATTTTTGATATGGTAAATATATTTTTGCACTTGATTATAAACATAAATGAGATATAGTTACATAATAAAATAATTGAATAATAACATATTTACAAGATATATATTCATTAAATGAACACAAAAATTATATCACAAGTTAATAGATTATAAATAATTACATCGTAAATAATTACACCTTAAAATAAATACATCGCAAATAGTAACATAAAAAAAAATGCTTTATAAAAGAACTACATACAAAAATAATTACAATAAATAATTAAATAATTACATGAAAAATAATAATAACGTAAACTAATTATCATAAAATAATTGCATCATAAAATAAGTACATTATAAAATATTTAAATTGTAATGAAATTACATCATAAAATAAATGCACAACAAATGCATTAATCATAAAAAAATATTTCAATCTCAAAGTTAGTGGGTAAAGAAAATAATATAATCTTTTTAAACAGTCATAACACTAACAACATGAAGGGCATCCAATGGACAGAGATTATTTTTTAAAAAAATTCTAATCAAGTTCTTGATAAAATACTATATGGGCGTTAACAACGATGGTTTCAGATTCTCTATGAAAATCATGTTCGTCTTTTGCAAATATTAATAATTTGTAAGACCCAGTGGACCTCTCTTTGAATGGTAGCACCCAGGTACGTCAAGGGGGAAACTGGCTCGAGTATATGGCCATGCAATTCGTACGTGTGGTTAAAAGGGGATCTGCTTCTAGAGACTGACAGTGTTTGGCACTTGACGGGTGGAAATTTCATGTCCCATCTTCCACCCATCTAACTGAGGGAGGTCGTGTTGTTGCTGTTTCTGGTCCTGGTCTTGGTCCTGGTTCAAACTGTTGGTGATCGTCCTGTGCACCGTAGTGTCGTCTGCGAACTGTCTTATTTGGGATGTCAGTTTCTCGGTTAGGTCATTAATGTAATCTTAAGAACAAATAAGGGCCTAGCACCGAGTTATCTCTGACTTAACACTGACAAAGTAGGATCGTGTACCTTCCACCTGCGCATGCGGAGCGTCTTCGAGGAAACTTTTGGCCGTCCACAAACCCGCCCAGACCCAGAGGAGAGTGCATCGCAAAGGCCTTAAACGCAGTGATTTTGGTCGCCCAGACCTCACCCAGGCCAAAGGGAGGGGGGTCCCGGCATTTATTTATTTTGGCATTTTTAGTATATCGCTTACCTGGCAGCACTAAGCGCTTTACAATTATTAAAAATATGTAACTATTTAAACTGCTAAAGTAAAATAAAAATGAAAAACCAGAGACACTAGAATAGTAACTACAATGTGAAAATGACTATAGAAACAGCTTAAACATTAAAATGGCTATAAAAACGCGTACACTTTGGCACATTTTGCCTGTACTACAGGATCAACCCGAGACAGAAAATGTGGCAGTGCAAGGAGGGTGCATCACAAGTCATAGGCGCACCTAAACAGATGGGTTTTAAGGGACTTTTTAAAAGTGGACGAGGTTTCACAATGACGGATGTGGAAGGGGAGCTGGTTCCAGAACGTGGGCCCATGGAAGTAGAAGGAGCGTTCACCGATGGTCTTAGTTTTGGTTCTTGGGTTTGAGTGGGTTCTATTGTCAATTGAAGAGCGTAGTTGTCTTGTGGGGATGTAAGGAAGCAACAGTTCAGAGAGATAGACAGAAAAATGAAGGTCAGTGAACGAGTTGAAGCATAGATTGGCAGACTTGTACTTGATGCGAGAGGTAATTGGAAGCCAGTGGAGTTGCGAATGTGTGGTTGAATGTGGTCATTTTACTTTCATTTAAAAATGAGTTTGCATCCTGAGTTCGGTGCCTTCTGAAGTTTGTCTATGTGGTGTTGAGGAATGCCTGCGAAAAGTGTGTTACAGTGGTCAAATTTTGAAAGAATGAGTGAAGAGACGAGAGTTTTTGAGGATTCAAAGGAGAGGAGGTGTCTAATGATGCTGATTTTTCTAATTTCGTTGTATGCTGATCTGGATGTATTTGTGACATGTTTGTCAATGGAAAGGGTGTCTGTAAGCGTGACCCCAAGGTTTCTGGCATAGGAAGAGAGTGTGATGTCAGTTGCCGTTAGATATAGAAGAAGGAGTGGTTGGATGGTGAGGTTTGTTTTGAGAGTGGATGAGAAGGATTTCCGTTTTATCATCATTTAGCTTCAGTTTGTTGCAAGTCATCCAAAGCTTTACGTCATCCACGCACTCCTGTATGCGAAGGATTGTGGCATCAAGTTGATCAGGAAAGCAAGAATCACTACCACATGGTCTGACCGCGAGGAAACATGGCGCCTGGCCCGTGTGGAGGCTCTCCAGGGGGGTATTAAGAGCTCACGCTCGACGACCCACCAACACCATTGCCCAATGTGATGTACCCTCCACCACTCCTGCGTAACATCGGTTGCTAAGGAAGCTAGGGATCCATATTTTGGTAGTGCCTAGTATCCCATAACTCTTAAGTTAGTGTTAAAAGAAACTGAGATTGACACGGTCAAATGCCCTTGAGAATTTAATCCTTAGTGCGTCATTTCTTTTGACTTGTTTCTTTATTGACACTTCAATTGTCTGAAACAGTCGTAACGTTGTTTTGTTTTCAAAAGGATACGATGAATTGAAACCCAATTCTGTTACATGTGTAAAATGTGACAAAGGTAAATAAAGGTCCAATTGTTGACCAAGGTAAAAAATGGTACAATTGTAGACCAATGTACATAAAGGTCTAATTGTTGGACAAGGTTTATAAAGGTCCATTTGCTGACCAAAATATATAAAGGTCCAAATGTTAACTTAATTGTATAAACGTCCGTTGTTGTCACAAACGACTAGAGTTTCCAGACTAACTCATTCTCACATCACCACTGAATTGAGCTATGGTCTCAGACAGAATATCAAAGCACCACTGAAGTGATCTATGTTCTAAGACACAACATCAAAACAACATTGAACATGTTTATACATATGTGGAGAAGCTATTAGGAGGTCCATCTCTTATGTCAATATGGGCATAAGTCGTGACTTATGTCTTAATATATATAAGATAAAAAATAATCGAATATAAAGAAACAGCACAGTGTTATGTGGTATGAATGCTAGGTAAGGAATTCAAAGTCACTAATTTATATATGCATAAACCTAAACATATCAAAGTCTTCTATAATTTACATATGACTACAACATATTTCACAAAATAATCAGAAAAAATGTCACCTTAGGCAACATATTACACCAGAGAATCCGTAAAAAGATATTGTTTTTCGTCAGTCGGGAGTCGACCATTTCCACTTCAATCATCAGATTTTTGCAAGTTCTGTTTGTGGGAGCGCAGATGTCTAATAAGGTCGTTTATGGCACAACATTTTTGTGTGCAGTGGATAAAGAAATCTGACCACATCATCCCAGTTCTACGAGAGCTCCATTCGGTTCCTGTGAGTGAGCGCATTAACAACAAAATTCTGCCCCTGGCGTACGGCTGCATTGATGGCTCAGCACCGGAATATCTGAAAGAACTGATTTATAAACATGTATCCTTAAAGAACCTGCGGTCTTCAACACAGTCCTTACTGAAAACTCCCAGTGTGGATGAACACATACAAAGGTCTTACGGAATGCGCTCTTTTGAAGCAATAGCGCCACAATTATGGAACAGTTTGCCTCAATCTTTGAGGTGGATTGAAATTTACAGAAAAATCATTTAAGAAACATTTTTTTAAATTTTTCTGTTTAAAGAGATGTAAGTAAACCAGAGTGAAGTGAGCATGCTAAAGTGCCATGAATAACAGCGCTAGATAAATATAAAATCAATCAATCAATCATTGGAAAGATGGGGCATCTCCGAGAGCAGAGTCAGACCAGGCCATGCTTGCATGTCGCTTGCGCTCTGCAGACACCTTTCTGCACACTTCATGTTGCATGGAGCACTTGTGTAAAGTGGAACGCCATGAACAAATATGACACTTATGACAGCATACTACTCCAGGTAATCAGCAACATATTACACTTATGACAACATACTACACCAAGTGATCAGCAACATATGACACTTATGACAACATACTACACCAGGTAATCAGCAACATATTACACTTATGACAACATACTACACCAAGTGATCAGCAACATATTACACTTATGACAGCATACTACACCAAGTGATCAGCAACATATTACACTTATGACAGCATACTACACCAAGTAATCAGCAACATATTACACTTATGACAACATACTACACCAAGTGATCAGCAACATATTACACTTATGACAGCATACTACACCAAGTGATCAGCAACATATTACACTTATGACAGCATACTACACCAGGTAATCAGCAACATATTACACTTATGACAACATACTACACCAAGTGATCAGCAGCATATTACACTTATGACAACAGACTACACCAAGTGATCAGCAACATATTACACTTATGACAACAGACTACACCAAGTGATCAGCAACATATTACACTTATAACTACATACTACACCAAGTGATCAGCAACATATTACACTTATGACAACATACTACACCAAGTGATCAGCAACATATTACACTTATGAAAACAACATCTTGTTTACACAAATAAAGCGCATTTATAATAATCCGTTTCAATTGAAAGGAAATTCCTTTTAATAATAACAAGTTAATGCAAACATTTACCCTTAAATATAGTGGGCAAGACATTGGTGGAAGTGACGTCATTTGTTTCTGCGTAAACAAGATGGCATCCATTTTTTTTTTTAGAAACTGTACTTGCCTTCTATCATGAGTCGCGAGAAAACCTAATGTAAACAAACACGTCCAACTGGCACGTCATTTCAGTTAGCCAAAAGAGGTATTTAATCTCAGTACTTTCTCATCACCGCTATCTGAAAGCATGTTTTTTTTAAAATCTCTTTAATTTTAAGTAAACGTCTTGCCAATAAAACTTTAGAACATAAATTGTCTCGGTCAATGTTGTTGCTGGTTTATTGTTATCTACTTCATTTCATGTTTGTCTCAGATGTTAAGTTATCTCAACGTGTCCTTTGTAACCATCAGCTCTACTCTCAATATCTCATGTTTTTTAATATCCAGGGTTGCAGTTCCCCCGCCCCCCCTCCCCCCCCCCCGGGCCCGCGTTCAAGAACTAACTTGGTCTCTGAGTCTACAATCGCCCGTTTTAACTTGTCTCAATGCTATACCTGACTCAGAATTATCTTTGACTCTTTTCTACCTTTCTCAAAATTATCTTTGACTCTCTCCTACCAGTCTCAGAATTCACTTTGTCTCTATGCTAACTTTCTCAGAATTAACTTGGTCACTGGTATTCCTGCCTCAGAATGAACTGACTCCTCGACTACCTGTCTTAGAATTAATGAACTGACTCCTGGACTACCTGTCTTAGAATTAATGAAGTCTCTGATCTACTGTCTAGTATTTATTATATATCTAAACAACTTAGCTTTTTCTCTGGTCAACCTGTCTCAGGATTAACTTGGTGTCTCAACTACCCGTCTTACGATTAACTTGGTGTCTCAACTACCCGTCTTACGATTAACTTGGTGTCTCAACTACCCGTCTTACGATTAACTTGGTGTCTCAACTACCCGTCTTAATTTAACTTGTTGTCTCAACTACCCGTCTTACGATTAACTTGTAGTCTGTATTATCTGTCTCAGGATGACTTTGATGTCTGGATAACCTGTCTCAAAATTACCTAAATCTCTTGCCTTATGACTTAGAGTTAAGTTTCTATCAAAACAAATCTGGTCTAGCTGTCTTATGATTAAGTAGCTCTCTAAACTGAGTAAATAAGTCAATTGTCTTCCAACTTAAGATTTAGATAATCTCTAAAAAAAAATTAACGGCGTATCATATTTTCTGTCTTAGGATTAAATAAATATCAAAACAAAGTAACTTGGCAATTTTGGGACAACGTAGACTATTGAATGTTTAACCAAAACTTTCAATACATTTGACTGTGATGTGATGCCATTATGCTAAGCCATTAAGATGTGTCTGTAGGATGTGATGCCATTATGCTAAGTCATTAAGATGTGTCTGTAGGATGTGAGGCCCTTATGCTAAGTCAATAAGATGTGTCTGTAGGATGTGATGCCATTATGCTAAGTCATTAAGATGTGTCTGTACGATGTGATGCCATTATGCTAAGTCATTAAGATGTGTCTGTAGGATGTGATGCCATTATGCTAAGTCATTAAAATGTGTCTGTAGGATGTGATGCCATTATGCTAAGTCATTAAGATGTGTCTGTGGGATGTGCTGCCATTATGCTAAGTCATTAAGATGTGTCTGTAGGATGTGCTGCCATTATGCTAAGTCATTAAGATGTGTCTGTAGGATGTGATGCCATTATGCTAAGTCATTAAGATGTGTCTGTGGGATGTGCTGCCATTATGCTAAGTCATTAAGATGTGTCTGTAGGATGTGCTGCCATTATGCTAAGTCATTAAGATGTGTCTGTTGGACGTGATGCCATTATGCTAAGTCATTAAGATGTGTCTGTAGGATGTGCTGCCATTATGCTAAGTCATTAAGATGTGTCCGTTGGACGTGATGCCATGGCATAATGCATTATTATGATTTGTCCATCTTCTCTGCAGCTGAAATCAATCAACTCAATGCTCCGCATGCTGGCCTTGTTAAACCCTGGGCTCTTGCCCATCTTAAACCAGTAGTTACAGGGACTGAACGAAAACATAATATTACATTAAGGTATGCTGTGGATTACATATCTCTTTCATTAGAACATGTTTCATTTGAGTTGCCTGTTTGACGTTCCTTGAATTACGAAGTCATGTGATATTTATGACTTTAAATTGATCCCCCTGAATAACCGCTCTCTGTGTCATCAGAAGAATTACTTTAACTTGGGCTTAACAAGACATTTATTTTAACTAGGGCTTATCAAGGCATTTATTTTAACTTGGGCTTAACAAGACATTTATTTTAACTTGGGCTTAACAAGACATTTATTTTAACTTCGGCTTAACAAGACATTTATTTTAACTTGGGCTTAACAAGACATTTATTTTAACTTGGGCTTAACAAGACATTTATTTTAACTGGGGCTTAACAAGACATTTATTTTAACTTGGGCTTAACAAGACATTTATTTTAACTAGGGTTTAACAAGGCGTTTATTTTAACTAGGGCTTAACCAGGCGTTTATTTTAACTAGGGCTTAACAAGGCGTTTATTTTAAATAGGGCTTAACAAGGCGTTTTTTTTAACTGGAGCTTATCAAGGCGTTTATTTTAACTGGGGCTTAACAAGACATTTATTTTAACTTGGGCTTAACAAGACATTTATTTTAACTTGGGCTTAACAAGACATTTATTTTAACTAGGGCTTAACAAGACAATTACTTTAACTTGGGCTTAACAAGACAATTACTTTAACTAGGGCTTAACAAGACAATTACTTTAACTTGGGCTTAACAAGGCGTTTATTTTAACTAGGGCTTATCAAGGCATTTATTTTAACTAGGGCTTATCAAGGCGTTTATTTTAACTAGGGCTTAACAAGGCGTTAATTTTAACTAGGGCTTAACAAGACATTTATTTTAACTAGGGCTTAACAAGGCGTTTATTTTAACTAGGGTTTAACAAGGCGTTTATTTTAACTAGGGCTTAACCAGGCGTTTATTTTAACTAGGGCTTAACAAGGCGTTTATTTTAAATAGGGCTTAACAAGGCGTTTATTTTAACTGGAGCTTATCAAGGCGTTTATTTTAACTGGGGCTTAACAAGGCGTTTATTTTAACTAGGGCTTAATAAGGCGTTTATTTTAACTAGGGCTTATCAAGGAGTTTATTTTAACTAGGGCTTAACAAGGCGTTAATTTTAACTGGGGCTTAACAAGGCGTTTATTTTAACTGGGGCTTATCAAGGCGTTTATTTTAACTGGGGCTTAACAAGGCGTTTATTTTAACTGGGGCTTAACAATGCGTTTATTTTAAATAGGGCTTAAGAAGACATTTATTTTAACTAGGGCTTATCAAGGCATTTATTTTAAATAAGGCTTAACAAGGCGTTAATTTTAACTAGGGCTTAACAAGGCGTTAATTTTAACTGGGGCTTAACAAGGCGTTTATTTTAACTGGGGCTTATCAAGGCGTTTATTTTAACTGGGGCTTAACAAGGCGTTTATTTTAACTGGGGCTTAACAAGGCGTTTATTTTAACTAGGGCTTAACAAGGCGTTTATTTTAACTGGGGCTTAACAATGCGTTTATTTTAAATAGGGCTTAAGAAGACATTTATTTTAACTAGGGCTTATCAAGGCATTTATTTTAAATAAGGCTTAACAAGGCGTTAATTTTAACTAGGGCTTAACAAGGCGTTTATTTTAACTAGGGCTTAACAAGGCGTTTATTTTAACTAGGGCTTAACAAGGCGTTTATTTTAACTAGGGCTTAACAAGGCGTTTATTTTAACTAGGTCTTAACAAGGCATTTATTTTAACTAGGGCTTAACAAGGTTTTTTTTTTTAACTAGGGCTTAACAAGGCGTTTATTTTAACTGGGGCTTATCAAGGCGTTAATTTTAAGTTGGGCTTAACAAGGCGTTTATTTTAACTAGGGCTTAATAAGGCGTTTATTTTAACGGGGGCTTAGCAAGGCGTTTATTTTAACTGGGGCTTAATAAGGCGTTTATTTTAACTGGGGCTTAACAAGGCGTTTATTTTAACTGGGGCTTAACAAGGCGTTTATTTTAACTGGGGCTTAACAAGGCGTTTATTTTAACTAGGGCTTAACAAGGCGTTTATTTTAACTGGGGCTTAACAAGGCGTTTATTTTAACTAGGGCTTAACAAGGCGTTTATTTTAACGGGGGCTTAACAAGGCGTTTATTTTAACTGGGGCTTAACAATGCGTTTATTTTAACTGGGGCTTAACAAGGCGTTTATTTTAACTAGGGCTTAACAAGGCGTTTATTTTAAATGTCCTTAACAAGGCGTTTATTTTTAACTAGGGCTTAACAAGGCGTTTATTTAAACTGGGGCTTAACAAGGCGTTTATTTTAACTGGGGCTTAACAAGGCGTTTATTTTAACTGGGGCTTAGAAGGCGTGTATTTTAACTGGGACTTAACAAGGCGTGTATTTTAACTAGGGCTTAACAAGGCGTTTATTTCAAACCGGGTCCGGGTATTTTGAGAAATTTTACAGAAAGTCATACACCCTACATTCGGGCTTTAAAGCAATAGTCCTACAGAGAGTCCTACAAAAGTCCTACACCATATCCGTGGCTCTTTTTTTTATTATTATAATGGCGGCTTCCAATATTCCCTTTAAGCTGCGCGGCTGCACAACAATTCACAGACGCCGCGCATCAGTTTTGAGAATCCGCGCAGCAAATTTCCCTGTAAGTGCGTGTTTGCGGTCTGTAAAAGTTTGCACCCAAAAATGATGCTGCAAAACTTTGCACACAATTGTATGATGTTGCACACGAACGAGCAAACCTTAGAGGGAACATTGGCCGCTTCCCCCTAAAGAAATTAAGAAATTATGTTTGACAGCCGTTTTTTCCCCACTCATTACTTTTAATATAAATTTTCTGGAAATAGGGGATAGTGGTTTCGAAAAAGGAGGCAGGACATATACGAGAAGCAAACTATTTATAAGAGATAATAATACATTTAAAAAAAGCCAAAACAACTCATTAATTATTGCTCGTCTCATCTTTACTTTGACCAAAAAATTATAAATGGACTGAACCGTTTAAGTGATTGTTAGATGGACCAATGTTCTCATTGTTAACGCTTTGAATCTGTCATGAACTCAAAGAACGCACCATAGCTCCGAGCCCAGGATGGACATTATCTTCCACGGGGTCTACCGAAATCCGCGACACGCTGGACCGACATCGACGGACAGCGCACAGATCAACACGCTCCAACTGTACAAGGCGCAGGTCTATTTGGTGGCGTCTCTGGTCTTCCTGTTGTTCGGGTTACCAGGTGAGCGTTGTTCTGCCAGGTGAACCTTGTCATTCCAGGTTGGGAGTTGTCATGCCATGTGGGTCTGTTCATGTTACGCTAGCGTTGTCCTGCCAGTTGAGCCTTGTCATGCCAGGCGGGAGCTGTCATGACATGGGAGTCTTGTCAAGTTATGCTAGCGTTGTCATGCCATATGTGTCTAGTTTATTTGCCAGTTGTGAGTTGTCATGACATGTGAGTCTTTTTATGCCAAGCGAGCCTTGTCATGTCAGGTGAGCCTTGTCATTTTAGGTGGGCTTGTCAGGCTATGTGAGTCTTGAATTTTTATGTGAGTGTTGCAATGCCAGGTGAGCCTTGTCATGCTTGGTGAGCTCTGCCATGTTGGGTCAGCTTTGTCATGCCACTTAAACATTGTCATGTTGGCCACCGAAGCAAAGGCACATATCGGATCATCATAAAGTTTTCAGTAACAATTTGTAAATGTCCTTAAATAATCAGCAGTGATATCGTATAAACATTAACCGTGGTATTGATGAATGAAACAATTCAATTCTAATAGAAATAAATACTTGAGCTACTTAGGTATCGTTCCACGTTTGTATTGTATTGACCTTAAAATTTATCGAATCCAGTAGATACATTTTTTAAATTGACTTTAACGGCTAATCCCCAGAAGGGGGTACGTTTTCTTTCCTTTAAGTATGAATTTTATGAGCCTTCATGTGTATTAATCAAATTAAAATATAAAAATACATAATTCAAAATCATGAGATATCTGAATATCATGGGATATATCGATTGAGATACAATAAAAATCGTTTGAAATATTTCATGATACTGTTAGATATATCAAGATAATTAAAGATCTTTCAAGATCATGTCAGATCTATCACGATTATGGGATATACCTTAGTTAATGTAAACTATTTCAAGATAATATTAGATATTCAAGATCATATTATGTATTCTATTCCATTCCCAGGAAACATCTTGACGATCATGATACTCAGAAAGGCCACAATGAAGGATAATTTCTTCTCAACACACCTAACAGCCTTGTGTGTGTTTAATTGCTTGACCTTAGTGTGGTGTGTCCCTCGGTACATCGTCCAGTCGTTTCATGACCGAGACGTCCTTAGCCGCGACCCGATGTTCTGTGCGTAAGTAAATGTTGATCGGAAACCGGATGTGGTGTGAGTGAGTGTGATCATCAGCCGGATGCTTAGTGCATGATTAAATGTGACCAGGACCCGGATGTGCGTAAGTAAATGTAATCAGGAAATGGATGTTATGAGTGTGAGTAAACGTGACCAGGAAAAAAGATGTTATGTACCTGAGTAAATGTGACCAGGAAAAAAGATGTTATGTACCTGAGTTAATGTGACCAGGAAAAAAGATGGTATGTACCTGAGTAAATGTGACCAGGAAAAAAGATGTTATGTACCTGAGTAAATGTGACCAGGAAAAAAAGATGTTATGTACCTGAGTAAATTTGACCAGGAAAAAAGATGTTATGTACCTGAGTAAATGTGACCAGGAAAACAGATGTTATGTACCTGAGTAAATGTGACCAGGAAAACAGATGTTATGTACCTGAGTAAATGTGACCAGGAAAAAAGATGTTATGTACCTGAGTAAATGTGACCAGGAAAACAGATGTTATGTACCTGAGTAAATGTGACCAGGAAAAAAGATGTTATGTACCTGAGTTAATGTGACCAGGAAAAAAGATGGTATGTACCTGAGTAAATGTGACCAGGAAAAAAGATGTTATGTACCTGAGTAAATGTGACCAGGAAAAAAGATGTTATGTACCTGAGTAAATGTGACCAGGAAAAAAGATGTTATGTACCTGAGTAAATGTGACCAGGAAAAAAGATGTTATGTACCTGAGTAAATGTGACCAGGAAAAAAGATGTTATGTACCTGAGTAAATGTGACAAGGAAACTAATGTCTTGTGCGTGCGTATACTGATTTAACTTGCTTTGGTAGAGCCGACAGGATATGTTTTTTTTGGGGGGTTTTTTTGAAAAATTTTTTTAAATGTTTTTATATTTACCTCTTGTAAACTTACAACATGATTTTTTGTAACTAAATCTCCAAGCCTCCGATGTGGCTACTAAATCAATCTCTCCAACGTCATGACTAAATCCATGACTGCTACATGATTCTTCATTTGTATTCATTTTACTCCAATTTGATGACTCAATCTACGACGTCTACGTCGGGACTCAATCCGTGACTCCTATTTGATGAGTCGAAATATCAGAGTTAATATCTGGATCAGTGTCACATCTTGTCCTACTCCAGTCATTGTTATCATTGTTATAGCTTGTCCTACACCAGTCTTTATGATATCTGTTATATCTTGTCCTAATCCAGCCTTTGTGATCAGTTTTTTGTCTTGCCCTACTCCAGTCGTTTGTGATCAGTTTCTTGTCTTGCCCTACTCCAGTCGTTGTTGTCCTTGTTATATCTTGCCCTACTCCAGTCGTTGTTGTCCTTGTTATATCTTGCCCTACTCCAGCCGTTGTTGTCCTTGTTATATAAAAGCGTTAAGAAAATAAATTTGAGATAAATATCATCTTTTTTTATTTATGCATACAATGTTTATGACAGTCAATTCCATGTTTCTATAAGTGAATCCCATGTCCATATCAGTGATTCCCATGTTTCTATCAGTGATTCCCATGTTTCTATCAATGATTCCCATGTTTCTATCAATGATTCACATGTTTCTATCAATGATTCCCATGTTTATATTAGTGACTCCCATATTTCCATCAGGGATTCTAATGTTTCAATCAGTAAATCCCATGTTCATATCAGTAATTCCCATGTTTCTATCAGTGATGCCCATGTTTCAGGCTGTACAGAATGATCAGTTTCTCCCTGATCTCAATGAACAGCTGGCATCTTGTTTCCATAACAGCGACTCGTCTCCTGCTGGAAATTGACAAGTAGGCCTTACAGTTGTATGTCTCGTGCTCTTAATGTATGACTCATTTAGTTAAACAAGTCTCGTGTGTCTAATGCTGTATGTCTCATGTAGCCTATGTTGTGTGCTTCATCTAACAGACATATTACATATTCTGATGAGAGCTTGAGCTTCCGCGTTTAAAGCCCCGCTAGTACAGCTGCTATCAGCTCCATATGAAGGACTGTGCAGGTTAGTACACGGCAACAAGCTACATCGGCTGGGCCTGTGCCGGTTAATTCATGGGCAACAAGCTCCATCTTCTGCATGGTCTGTTCCGGCTAAAACATGTGCAACAAGCTCCATCTTCTGCATGGTCTGTTCCGGCTAAAACATGGGCAACAAGCTCCATCTTCTGCATGGTCTGTTCCGGCTAAAACATGGGCAACAAGCTCCATCTGCTCGGTTGGGCAGTATAACGTGGTCGTATCTTTGGACTCTAACGCCTCAAATCTTGTGCTTGGCCATAAGTTAACAGATGTGCTAGAGCTTCTGGTACCAAGCTGGTATGCTGTGTTCTTTTTTCGCTAAAAACAAAGATCCCATGATCCCATTAATGCAATAAACTTACATGTCTATATGCAAAATATTTGGTATGCAGCATCTAAAAACATTATTGTATGAAAACACAAGTACCATATGATTAAACGACAATATTTTATTTGAAAATTATTTTAAAACTCCATATATAATATATGTATCTATATATCTATATATATATATATATCTATATATATATATATATATATATATNATATATATGTATATATGTATATATATATAAGTATCACATTTTTTTGCAATGCGACTGTTTACATTTTGCAATTATTTTATTGCTCTTTTCCAAATGTTCCTGATCAATACTATTAATCAGAAGCCCAAGACTCACTACAACTAAAATATTAACTTAGCAATAAATGACCAAGTCAAATAGAGTGTGTTTGTGACCCCAAACCAATTAATGTGGTTGCCTTCTATGGTAATGATAGTCAACTGGTCTGTAACTACAGGAATAGAAATTGGGTCGTCTTCTATTGTATTTGAAACAGACAAAGTTGACCATAATCTTTCACACGACACTTATATTCATTCTTATGGCATAATGACGTAATAATTTTATCATAACGATGTGACTCACGAGAAAAGAAGAGAACTGTTTTTTTCCGGTGGATGCTTAATACACGTTAAGAGAGTAAGAAGGCGTGCACGATTATTATCCTGAAGAATACAGACATATTGGTTTATTTCTCGTATGGATTATTAAATTATTGTCATATTGAATATTGAACGTGTTTGTAATTATTTACTGTATCCTAGTATTGTTACAAGGATATCCTCAATGGAATTGTTATTTATGATCTATACATATAATTCGCCAGAAGAGGTCAAACAAGAAGACGGGTCAAACACTCACACGCAGGCTATATATAGATACGCCACAGCAAGCAAGGTGCAGGCCAACCTTCCACTCGCTTGCCAGGCATGCACACCCCAACAAGCTTGAGGCGTCTGCTAAGCCGCGGGTCGCGTATCATGAAAAAAAAAAGAGGGGGGGGGGGGGGGGGTAAGAGGGTGTAGCAAAAAAAAAAAAAAAAATGGGGGGGGGGGGGGGTTGGTTAAAGGGTGTAGCAAAATTGGAATTCTTAAAGGTGCGTAACTAGAGTTCAGGTTTTTGTCAAGTAACTTTAGTAGATGGAAAGTTCACGCATCACTGTTGCCAATGTTTGGCGGGCTTAATTTTTATGATATGGTATATTGAACGTATGTATCATTATTGACTGCATCCTAGAATTGTTACAAGGATATACTCTTGAGAATTGTTATGAGTTACCATTAATAATAAGCTAACGTGGCATGAGGACGGCCAAATGCTATAAATGAAAGTCAAACAAAGTCTGTTCTATCTAAAAAAAACTGTACAATTTCGGAGTAAACAGGCAAGTCTTTAACTTATTCTAAAGTGCGACAATTAGAAGCCTGCTTAATTTCAGTATTACCTGCTGGTGTAGGTTTCAATGTCTGGTATTAAAAACCGCATAAACGACTAATCAAGAATGCTAGGAACATAACACAAACTAAACATCCTTCACTTGAAGTACGATTTGAAGAAAGAAGTTTTTGTAAAAATAAACTCATTTTGGATGATACATCCAACCCTCTACTTCACAAATACTTAGGATAGGACCTTTCGGGACGAATTTTTTCCATCAAGGCGAGGGCTGAAAGATATACAAATTATTTTTTTGCCCAATCTGTACGAATTTACCGGCGTGCTTGAGAACTAATAAGTTACCGATTTTGTTAAGAGAACTCACTGAATGGCAGTTTGAGATAATTTATTATAATGTCTTGTCTTCAAATTTTTATATTTAATTTTATGTGCTGAAGATGTATAATGCAATCAAAAAAACATTTCCATTTATTTGGACCAATAAGAAAATCCTATCTTATCCTATCCTATCTTAATAAAGTGCTGCGAATTATTCATTGGACGTTACTATTTCATTAGTGAGAGAGAGAACAGATACGTTTGGGGAGTGAATGAATTGAATCAATTATTCAAGTGATTGCGGCACGCCATCATTACCGTATAGTTAACAATGTTACCACCAAGCACAATGATATCGGTCGTATAACATGTGTTACAGTTTTGATATTCAACTTGTCTGTAACTACAGGAAAAGAAATTGGGTTGCCTTCTATGGTGAGCCGTCTAGGATGATATTACTGACTGTCGCCGTCTCACTCCTCTACGAGATACCAGGAACTGTGTTCTGGGTCCAATTTGCTGACTACTCAGGGTGAGCGATGCTTAATTTGCTGACTACACAAATTGAGTGATGTTTAATTTGCTGACTACACAGGGTGAGTGATGTTTAATTTGCTGACTACACAAATTGTGTGATGTTTAATTTGCTGACTACACAGAGTGAGTGATGTTTAGTTTGCTGACTACACAGGGTGAGTGATGTTTAGTTTGCTGACTACACAGGGTGAGTGATGTTTAGTTTGCTGACTACACAGGGTGAGTGATGTTTAGTTTGCTGACTACACAGGGTGAGTGATGTTTAGTTTGCTGACTACACAGGGTGAGTGATGTTTAGTTTGCTGACTACACAGGGTGAGTGATGTTTAGTTTGCTGACTACACAGGGTGAGTGATGTTTAGTTTGCTGACTACACAGGT